ACTAACACAAAAAATAGATTTTGGGCCAGGGAAAAATTTGGGCCCCAAAACATGTAAACATTCCCCAGTGCAGGGGGGAAAAAAGTAGGTGAACCCTTTTGGAAACTTAATAACGGGTTTGCCCCCTCCTTTTGGCACAAAAACCTAAACCAAAAATTTTTCCTTTGTATTTGCAGATCAACCTGGAACAAGGGACGGAAAATTTTTTGGACCACTCCTCTTGTTTTGCTATGTTTTGGGGGTCATTGTCCTGTTCATCCCCATCCTCTGGGATTTTCATTTGGGGGGGACAGATGGCCCGAAACTTTTTTCCTTTCAAAATGTTTTCCCAAAAACCTTTTGGAATTTTTTTCCCATCAATGACAACAATCCGTCCGGGCCCCGGGGGCAGCAAAGCACCCCCAAAACCGGGATGCTCCCCCCCCCAATGTTTTACGGGTGGGAGGAGGTTTTGATGTTGGGGGGTGCTGTCCCTTTTTTTTAAATCCACAAAATAGTGTTGTGTGTTTTTCCCCAAAAAACTCAATCTTGGTTCCATCGGGTCCACAGTATATTTTGCCAGTATGCTGGGGAAACATCCGGTCTCTTTTGCAAACTTAAAACGGCTCCCAATATTTTTTTTGGGAACAGCAATGGCTTCCTCCAGGGTGTCCTCCCATTTTATTTCCTTTTTTTTTTTTTAAATTTTTTTCCCTTTAAAATATTGTTTTCCCACAAAAATGTTAGCATGGCCAGAGATTTCGTAGGCCCTTTACTGACACTCTGGGGGTTTCCCTTCTTTACCTCATGCAGCATTCTGCGCTGTGCTTTTGCAGTCATTTTTACAGGTTTGAAAAACCGCCTGGGGGAGAGTAGCAACAGCGCTAAACTTTCCCCCATTTGTAACAGCCCGTTTTTCCCCGGGAAACAAAATAAAACATCAGGCTTTTGGAGATATTTTGAACCCTTTTCCAGCTTCATGCAAGTCAACAATTTTTTGATCGCCCAGGTCTTCTGAGAGCTCTTATTTTTTCCGAGGCCTAGTTCAAAACAGACAGTGCTTTTTTAAAAAACCAAAAAACCCAAAACGGGTGGGGTTTTTTTTAAAAGGGCAGGACACGTCAGCAACAAAATCCAAAAACATCACACTGTTTGGGAGTAAAGGGTTGGCTCATTTCCTGGCCCCAAATTTTAGCTCTGGGAGAATCATTAACGGGGCCTCACATTTTTTTTCCCCCCCTTTCCACTGTAATTTTTTACATGTTTGTAAATTTAAAACCCAAAGGCAACATCTAATTTTTGTGTAAAATTATGTTCACCCAACTGTTTTTCTTCTATTGTTGGGGACTTAATGACTTTCAGAGCACTTTTTATCCCCAAATTTTCATGCAAAAATCCAGGGAACCCCAAAGGGGGCCCCCACATACTTTTTCTTGCAACTGTAAAATACACTCGGGGGAAACCCCCCTCCCGCATAATGAAAACGGGCGGGGCAATCTACTTTTAAAACCAAAGACAAAAAACCAAGGTATTCAAACGACAGCCCCCACGGGAAGGGGGGGCGCTGCAGCCCAACCCCCCCCACTTAACTAATACAATAAGCAATACACCCCAAATAATAGTTTGCTCCCCAAACCCAACAAACAAAAGAACAAGGGGGATGCACCCAACGGCAAATTAAAAAAATCAAAAACCCCCCCCCCCACATACAAATCTCCTAAGAAAAGTGTCCAGGAAAGGACTGGCCAGCAAGGGTGGCCCTCACCTCCCTTTTTAAACTGCAGTACCAGGGCTGGCCACCCGGGTGCCCCAGAAATCAGGGGACTCAACCTTTCGGGCCACCTAAAAACCTGGAACTGATGAACGGTGTTTTTAAGGGGGAGGGCCCAAAAAATTGCAGACTCTCCTGGTGTTGTTTTGGGCCCCGGGCCCTGTATCGTCCACATCCTTTTTTCTGTTCCTTTGCGGGACCCTCCCTTAAATCTAACCGTTTGCTAAATTTTTTCCTGCCCCGATCCCGGCTCCCCTCCTGCCCAAATTCCCCTCCCTTTCCCCCATTTTTCCCCCACGCTGCTTCTACCTGTTCTGATCCCGGGCTGTGACCCTGACCATCCCCGCCTGGACCCTTTTTTAACACCTGCCTCCTTTCTGAACCGGGCCTGTGCCCCGCCCCAACCCATCCCCGCTTGCTCGCCGCCTGTAACCTACACCAGCCGCTATTGCTAATGAATCCCGGGCCTGCCTGACTGACGCTTGCTTGTAATGTACTGATATCTTTGGGAGGATTAGGTTTTATGTTTATGTATGCACTGTGTACATGTTTTAGTATTGTTATTGTTTGCGTTTTTAGTTTTTTATTTTTTGATAATAAATAATATTTTTTATCACATAACTGTTTTTTTTTTTAGGTTTTGCGTTGTTAGTTGTTTCTTTTTTTTATTTTCAGGTTTTACCATTTGATTTTTTTTTTTTTTATTTTTTTATTTAGGCCAATTTTTATTTTTCTTTTTTTTTTTAGGAAGCCATCTTTCTTTTTTCAGTTTTTTTCTTTTTTTTTTTTTTTTTAGAATTTTTATTTTTTCCTATTTTTTTTATTTTTGTTTTTTTATTTTTTTTTTTTTTTTTTATTGGTGATTACCCCCGGATTTACTGTTTTATTGCTATTGTTTTTTTTTTTTTTCTTGTTCTAGTTTGATTATTTTTTACTGATTTTCTCTATGGTGCAGCCATAGAATTAGGTTTTGTGTTGAGTTGGGTTTCATTTCTTTTTTCCGCCGATTTAGGTGATTTTATTTAGGTATTTTTTTGCCACCATTATTAGTGCAGACTTTTTTGAGTCCCTGTTTGTTAGTTTAATTTGAAGGATGAATGTTTTTATATTTTTTGTTTCGTTATTTTACATTTTAGCCACAGGTTTTTAAGATATTTAGTTTTATACGTATTTTTAGCTCTATGTTTTTTTTATTGTTTTAATGTTTTTTTTTTTTTAGTCTCTGCATTGTTTTACCCATACTGCAGACATTGACAGATTTATGTTTACACCAGCCTTGGTTTTTCAGCTTTTTTTTTTTTTTTTCCTTTTTTTTCTTATCTACTCTGCCTCAAGGGTTTTTTTTTTTTTATTGTGTTTTTTTTTTCCAGTTACAGCCCAGTATACTTGGTCTTTTTGATTTTATGTCAAGTTGGTACCTGATCCATATTAGTTTGCACCTATTCTTCGTTTTTTATACCCTTTTTTAGAGCCCTTTGTTTTTTTTTTTTTCCCTTTCTATTTTGTTAGTTTTTTTATTTTCATTTTTTTCTCCAGAGTGCTCACTTTATTTTTTCAGTACCAGCGTTTTTTTGCAGTGCTTTAGATTTTATTTTAAAACAGAAATTTTAGGTTTTTTGTGTTTCTATTTAGATTTATCCAGCCATTTTTTCTTATTTTTTTTTTTTTTTAGCCTTCCGTGGATCAGCTTGAAGCCTCTACCATCCTTTTTTCCTTTTTTTACCTGATGCCTTTAAAACGCCAGTTTTTTTTTATTTTTTGTTCTTTTCTTTTTTCTATCTTTTTTTTTTTTTTTTGGAGCCTCCTAGTTTAGCCTGTTAGCTTTTCTTCTACTCAGCCTTTTGTTTTTTCTTTGTTTTCGGACGCCGCTTTTTTTTTTTTTTTTTTATTTGCCTTTTACCCAGCAATGATGAACTGATCCAGCCTGCGATCCCTATTAAGGGCCAGTTGAACTCTGCATGCTCGCCTTGATGATTCCAGAAGTTTTTTTTTACCTGATCCGTGTCCCGGCTAGTCGTGCCAATTGACTCAAGAGCCCGCTGTTCGTACCTGTGTGACTCGGTTTTTTATTTTGCCTATTGCCATGATGACGCGGTTTGCCCGCTGGGCGAGCCCAAATGGACCTGATAGCCTGTGGCCCCTCTGTCGAGCCCAGAACGATCCAATGTTGCCTGTGAACCCGGTGCCCGCTGTCAAGAATCCAGAACAATCCAGTACCTGATGAACCCTGTGCCCACTTGTCCGTGCCTGATTACTCGGAGCCCACTGCCTTGCCAGATGGACGCTGTGGCCCGCTGTCCGAGACCAAATGACCTGATGCCTTGGTGACCCAGTGACCCAGCTGTCATTTACCTGTTTTTACCCGATGCCCGCTGACGAGCCAGACTAATCCGGTACTTGATTTTGACCTGGTTCCCAACTGTCGTGCCTGTTGACCTCGTAGGCCCACTGCCTTGCAGATACGCGTTAGCATCGCTGTCGAGCCAAATTTACTTTATGCCCTGGTGACCCCACAACTACCCGTGCCCGCTGTCCATTACATAACGATCCCAAATTCTGACCCAGTAGCCCGCGGTACATCACCAGTTTGACTCTGGTGCGGGGGGGGGGGAGCCCACTGCCTTGCCATAGAAAAATGACGCTGTGGCCACGCTGTCGAGCCCTAAATGACCTGATGCCTGAGTGACCCGATGTCCCGCTGTCCCCCAGCCAGACGATCCAATGTCTGACCCAGTGCCAGCGTTTTTATGCCAGTTGACTCGGAGCCCACTGCCTTGCCAGATTACGCAGTTATCCCGCTGTCGAGCTAAAATGAACCTGATGCCAGGTGACCCGATTCCTGCTGTCGATTTTTTTTTGACGATCCAATGTCTGACGCCCAGTGCCCAGCCGGACCAAGCCCGGTTTACTGCCGGGAGCCCCACTGTCGTGCCAGTGTTGACTCGATTTTGCCCGCCGTCTCCGCCTGGAGGCCCTATTTACCTGTCGTCTCCTCGCCTAGGGGGTCCGGCGCCCGCCGCTCCCGGCCTGGGGGTCCGGCGCCCGCCGCTCCGCCTGGGGGCCCCGAGCCTGACCTGTCGCACTTCCGCCTGGGGGGTCCGGCGCCCGCCGCTCTGCCTCGGGGGTTCCGGCGTCCGCCCGCCGCCCCGCCTTTGGGGCCCGAGACCTGTCGCTCCGCCTGAGGGCCCGATTAACCTGTCGCTCACCACCTGGGGTCCGGCGCCCGCCACTCATCCTCCGCCTGAGGGCCCGAGACCTGTCGCTCCACCTGGGGGTCCGGCGCCCGCCGCTCCGCCTGAGGGCCCGAGATACCTGTCCGCTCCACCTGGGGGTCCGGCGCCCACCGCTTCCACCTGAGGGCCCGAGACCTGTCGCTCCACCTTGGGGTCCGGCGCCCCGCCGCTCCGCCTGGGGGCCCGATGCCTGTCGCCCCGCCTGGTGGGGCCCGGCGCCTGCCGCTCCAACCTGGGGGCACGGCGCCTGTCGCCCCGCCTGTGGGCACGGCGCCTGCCCGCTGGTTCCGCCCGGGGGCCCGGTGCCTGCCGCTCCGCCCGGGGGCCCGTGCCTGCCGCTCCGCCCTGGGGCCCGGTGCCAGCCGCTCCGCCCTGGTGGCCCGCTGCCTGCTGCTTCGCCTGGTAATCCGATGTGCCTCTGCCCGGAGTCCTCCCGATGTGCCTTCTGCCCGGAGTCCTGCCCGATGTGCCTCTGCCCGGAGTCCTGCCCGATGTGCCTCTGCCCCCGGAGTCCTGCCCGATGTGCCTCTGCCCGGAGTCCTGCCCGATGTGCCTCTGCCCGGAGTCCCTCTGCCCGATGTGTGCCTCTGCCCGGAGTCCCTCTGCCCGATGTGCCTCTGCCCGGAGTCCCGCCCGTGTGCCTCTGCCCGGAGTCCTGCCCGTTGCCTCTGCCCGGAGTCCTGCCCGATGTGCCTCTGCCCAGTCCTGTCCGATGTGCCTCTGCCAGGAGGGGGGAGGGGAGGCCCGGAGTCCTGCCCGATGTGCCTCTGCCCGGTGTCTGCCAGCCTCTGCCCTGTGCCCTCTGCCCGGTGTGCCTCTGCCCGATGTGCCTCTGCCCAGAGTCCAGCCCGATGTGCCTCTGCCCGGAGTCCAGCCCGGTGTGCCTCTGCCGGAGTCCAGCCCGGTGTGCCTCTGCCCGAGTCCTGCCCGGTGTGCCAGTCTTTGATTGATCCCGCCAGTTACCAAGACCCGAGCGGTGGAACATTTTGCCCAGCTAGGACTGTTTGAGCGTCCTGAGGCCGCTCCTTGAGGGGGGGGTACTGTCAGGAATGGACTGGCCAGCAATGGTGGGACTCACCTGCCTTTTGATCTGCAGTACCAGGGCTGGCCAGCGGGTGCTCCCAGAAATCAGAGACTCAACCTTTCAGCCAGCTAACACCTGGAACTGATGATACTGGTGTATTTAAGGGATGGCCAGACTTGCAGACTCTGCCTTGGTGTTGTGTTTGTCCTGGGCCCTGTATCTGTCCTGCATCCTGTTTCTCTTCCTTTGCTGACCCTGCCTGATCTGAACCACTGCTGACTTCTCCTGCTCTGATCCCGGCTCGCTCCTGACCATCCCTCTGCCTGACCCTCTGTACCACGCTGCTTGCTACCTGTTCTGATCCCTGGCTTGTGACCCTGACCATCCCTCTGCCTGACCCTCTGTACTACGCTGCTAGCTACCTGCTGAACCTGGCCTGTGACCCCGAACCATCTCCGCTTGCTCCCCCTGTACCTACCTGCCCTATTGATATTGACCCTGGGCCTGCCTGACGACGCTTGCTTGTATGTACTGTTATCTGTGGGTGGTTGGTTTGGTTTGTTTGCACTGTGTTATGATTTTTAGTATTGCACTGCGTTTATGTTTGTATGGTTAGTGTTAATAAATTATATTGTTTTATCACATATCTGAAGTCTGCGTTTCCCTGCGTCAGCCACACCTGGGAGCCCTGACATCATGTCTACACAGTCTGAGACACAGCCAACACAATATTAGAACCAATCACCATGTACCCCCTAACAGGCAGAGGGTGATTTACACATAAGAGGGTTATTGATAGGGACAGGGGTCTCCCCACCTCTCCAAAGTGAGCTGGGTTCTATGGGCCCCCCACCCAAAGTGACTACCATCACACTGTTTGTTTCTGTAATTTGTGTAAAATGAGTTTGACAGCCCTCTCTCAATAATCCTTGTTCTTTGGTCTTAATGGTGGAGGGACCCCTTTCAGCTTAATAGCTTGAACTCCAGATAGACTGACCTTATGTATAAGATAAGATGAAGGACCACCAGGTCCATGCTGAGATGTAGAGACTACAAGTGATGACACTTACTGGAGTCTCTCCAGCCACACCTCTGTTTGCCAGTCCTAAGGCTACATTCATATGTCCACACACAGCCAAGGACTTCTGCTGGCAAGAATCTACTGATCATTCTAAATGCTGCATGTGCACACTGTCCACAATCATAATCAGAGAATATTTTAGAAGGATATTTACTTCTACCCCCACTGTTGGTTCTTCTGGTTACGCTGGGCACCAAGGATGGGGACACTCACCCTACACATGGGATTCTTTACTGTGTCATGTTCATCAATGCCCTGGGACATGGTGGAGGCTGCTTTCAGGGATAACTCAACCTTAAGGCAGATCTCCAACTTAGAGATGGCCATACACTGTGTACAGTACACTGAAAAACAAAAATAAAATGGCCTCCACTTAACTCTCTCTGTCCCCGTGTCAATGCACACCTTGTCTGACACTTGTTGCATTAGGAGGGACATGCTTAGCCTTTGCTCACTCCACCCGTCCAGTTTATTTCTGTTACCTCACTCCCAGCAACAGAATGAGGTCCTGCCAGGCACCTAATATTAAACTGAATAATAAAATGGACTCCAGTTTACACTCTCTGTCCCCATGTCAATGCACACCTTGTCAGATACTTGCTGCATTAGAAGGGACTGAGTCCAGAATGTGGTTCAGCCATACACCTAGCACAAACTCCATGCATGTGTTTAATTAACTATTCCTCTTTCGTACCTGGTGGACATGATGGGGCCTCTGCTGTGCTGATCGGCTCCCATTACTATGATAGACAGACCACTTTGGGGGGGGGGGAGTTGGGGGGACACCAGAAGTAACTCCCTCACTGCTAGGGGATACCCCATGTGTCACAGGAACTATGCTTCATGATAGGCTGCTTACCTTTCTGTTACTCTTTGTAACCACATGCTGTACTCCTTCCTGCATTCATTCTTGCAGAGCTAACTTCATACCCTAATGTATTTTACTGACCCGAGTTGTAGACTATGGGTAGTGTGCCCAATACTTGCACACACCCCTTTGAATACCTTCAGACCAGACATGGAAACCTTTCAAAACTTCACTGAAAGGATTCAGGTATCCAACTCAAAGAAGGCAACAGTCTTTCAATATCTAAAACCCTAACCAGGCTTTGGCTGCCCCAGTATACCTGCACAGGTGAAGTCCATGCTTGGCACACTCCATAATGGCAGTGCTCAAGAAGCTGATGTCAGGCTAGGGCAGATTGAACTGGCCGTAGAGCTCAGGACCTCTCAGACTCATGGCATTTCTCTCTCTAAGACCAAGCAAGGCTCTGCTTGATGGCGACTCCTTGGATCCGGACCCCTGTCCCTTTTATAATGACACAGAACTGGTGGGTCAGACTCAAAAAGCTTGCAAATTCAGACCAAGAATGGCAGGAAAAATACATTAACTCCTTCCCTCCTGACTGGAGCAGCAAAATATCTAGCTAACAGTAGGTATCTTGCCTACAAGCTAACTCACATCGAAATTTGTGAACAAAATGGAACAGTGACCAAATGAAGAGTTAAAAAACAAAAAAGTCTTCTAAACTAAGTAACATCCTAAATTCCTTTATGTAATATTACTATCGTAACTGGGATAATGATAATGTTAGAAAAGTTGAAGTTAAATCGTTGCCTATGGACATTAAAAACGTATGCAGTTTGTCGCCGTTGCACGGGGCATGTGCAGTTTTAAAGCATGCAATGTTTGGTATCTATTTACTTGGCATACCATCATATTTTATATTTTACCAAATAATTGGACAATATATTGTGTTTTTTGTGCATTAAAAGTAAAAAAAGTGTATTTTTTTTAAATTACGTTTGAAAAAAAACGCTGCGCGAGTACTATGTGACATACAAAAATTGCAGCACCCACACAATTTTATTCACTAAGGTGTTTGCTTTCAAAAAATATATAATGTTTTTGGGGGTTTAAATTAATTTCCGAGCACGAAATACTGATTTTTTTTTCATGCGAACAAAAAGTCAGAAAAGGCCTGATCTTCAGGTGGTTAGAAGAGGGAGTGATGTGTGGCATAAACCTTTAATTCTGGGCATAAAATGCACCCACCCCCAAAAATGACCCCTTTTTGGAAAGTAGACAACCCAAACTATTTGCTGAGAGGCATGTTGAATCAATAGAATAGTTAATTTTTTTAACTCAAGTTTTTGGAAAATGACGAAAAAAAGTTTTTTTTTGTTTTTTTTTACACAAAATTGTCACTTAAATGATTTATTGCTCACACACATGTCATGAGTATATGTGGAATTACTCCCCAAAATACATTCTGCTTCTCCCTGAGTATGGGGGTACCACATGTGAGAGACGTTTTGGCAGTCTAGCCACGTACAGGACCCCAAAATCCAATAAGCACCTTCAGGCTTTTAAAGGGCTTTATTTCCTCTTTACACTTCCTCACTACCTATCACAGTTTCAGAGGCCCTGAAATGCCAAGATAGCACCAAACCCCCACCTCAAATGACCCCTTTTTGGAAATTAGACACTCCAAGGAATTTGATAAGAACCATGGTGAGTATTTTGCAGATCTCGTTTTGGAAAATGAAGAAAAAAATCAAAAACTTTTTTCTTTTCTTTTTTTATATTTCAAAACCTTGTGAGAAAAAATGAGATCTGCAAAGTACTCACCATGCCTCTTTTTAAATTCCTGGGGGTGTCTACTTTCCAAAAAGGTCATTTGGCAGGGTTTTGTGCTATCCTGGCATTTCAGGGCCTTCGAAACTGTGTTCTAGGTAGTGAGGAAGTGAAGTGAGGAAGTTACGCACCTTCAGGCTTTCACAGTGGTCATTGGATTTCAGGCTCCTGTATGTGGCTAAGCTCCCAAAAAGTCTCACACATGTGGTATCCCCCCATACTCGATAGAAGTAGCAGAATGCATTTTTGGGGTGTAATTTCACATATACCCATTGTCATGGAAATTTTGTATGTGTTGGTCGAACTTTAAATGTGTCATATATTCGTGTTATTCACTATGTCTCTCGTGTGGCTTAATTAAAGCTCTGAAGGCTGCAATTGTGGCCATGCGCATGTACAATGTATGTATTACAGTACTCAGCTTGGTAATGGATGAGATGGCAGATCTGCGCTTATAGACCGGCGTGTATACCACCACGGCATTCCATGCGAATGCTGCTGTCAGTAGACCGTGGGGCCTGTATCCACATATCAGCAGCATAGTACCACGTGGGCTTCATAACGCAATGCGCAAGCGGTGTGAAACTCCACGTGTAGGCTTATGCATATCTTACAACCCATTACTAATCTGAACTGTATCTTGGATGGATGTGTTT